ATAATACCAATATTTGCTTTAGAATTTGCCAGGAGCATTTTCTTTGAAAAGGAAGAAGCTTATTTGTGAAACAGAGCACATTTCCTATGGTTTTGATTTTTAAAAATTGATTTGATTTTTTGTTTGTTTGTTTTGTTTGGCTTTCAGGTAGAAGATGGCTGGAAATATGTGGCCATGGTGGTGGACAGAGTATTTCTTTGGATCTTTGTCATTGTCTGCGTGTTTGGAACTGCAGGGCTATTTCTCCAGCCGCTGCTGGGGAACACGGGAAAATCTTAAGGATTCGATCTTTTGAAATTTGCAGATGCTCTATGTGCTGTGTGTTCCCTACCACAAAGAAAGGGACAGAAAGCTTCCCATCTAAGTGCCCCATCTACTGAAGCTGATGACTAGACGGAAAAAGAGGACTTGATTGAAAAGGAGGAGCCGGGGTGCCCTCCTCTGTAGCACGACGCTGGAGCCCAGAGCTGGCAGCACCCCCAGGCCTCTCTCGTCTGGACATGTTCAGCTTCCAGGGCCATGATGAGTCATTACACAGCGAACCACGTCATCAGCATCAAGCCACACTACAGAGGGGTTCTGCGGGCCCTCCAGTTATGCTGCTGGCCAGCAGCATGACGCATGCCAGACACGAAACTCTGGAGCGTGGCCCTTGCTGACGTGTGCCATGCTCGTGAACTCTCGTGGGCTTGCTTTCTGGTGCACGTGTCTGTGATGTCGCTCACACACCAGCATGACTTCATACAGTAGTTAGCACAAAGTAATGGCAGGTAGCCCAGTCGATCTCAGCAGGCTGTATTTAATTAGCATTTACCGGCCAGAAACGAGTGGTAACCCAGCACTGTGCTAGGCATCGCAAAGGTGACAGAAATAGGCTGCCCCCAGCAGTCCCAGCTCTATAGGGAAACACGAACACACAGATCTCCAGGACTAAGTGTCACCTGGGGAAGGAACTAGAGCAATCAAAACAGGAGAACATGGAGGGGGGGGGCGGGGTGGCCAGGCAAACCCAATGCAACCTTCGTTGTCTTTTCTCATCAACAGTTTCCCTCTGTTCATTGAAAATCAACTTATTTCTTCTGTCAGAAATTGTGATCTGTACCTTTTGGAGCAATTCCTTTTCTGAGAGGGAACCCTTTGGAAACTGTTTTATTCCACTCAAATTTATTATCTCCTTGTTTGTTGTATAAATAGTATCCGAACAATTTAAAAGACACATTTTAAAGCAGAACAAAGAAATCTGCCCTAACAAATGAACTACTTTTATTTTTGCCTTTTCCCTTCTAGTCCTTGCCTATGTGCATCTATACTTTTTCTTAATTTTAAAAAAATATATTTGTATTGATTTCAGAGAGGAAGGGGGGCAGAGGGAGAGAGAGAGAGAGAGAGAGAGAGAGAGAGAGAGAGAGAGAGAGAGAATAAGAGGGACTCATTGATCGCCTGCCTCCTGCACGTCCCCTGCTGGGGATTGAGGCCACAAGCCAAGCATGTGCCCTAACTGGGAATCAAACCATGACCTCCTGGCTCATAAGTTGATGCTCAACCACGGAACCATGCTGGCCGGGCCACATATAATTTTTTACACTTCAATTTTACCTTGCAATTTTGTATTTTTCTGGTTTCTCAAAACACTACATTAGCAACATTCCTTCATGATGTTACATAGTCTTGAAGTATACTTTTAAAGATTTCATAATCTTCATTGCGCTGATTCACCATGGTTTCTATTACCCCATGTTAATGCTTCCTTGTCTGTCTCACGCTGGAGCATAAGGCAGTATGTGGCACACCATGCAGAGGTATTGAATTTGAATTACTCTGTTTTAAAGTATTTTTACTCCCTCTCATATTTGTGATTGAAGTACCTATTGTTTTATCTTTCTATCTTTACATTGGATTGGTTGTTACTTGATACTTTTTTTTTTTACTATCAAACCAATTCAATATTTAATTTTTAAAAAGGTTTAATGGCCCTGAATGATGTTGCTCAGTGGTTAGAGCATACCCAAAGGTCAAGAATTTTATTTCTGGTCAAGGGCATGTACCTGGGTTGCAGGTTCACCTCTGGCCCCAGTTGGGGCGGTTGCAGGAGGCAACCAATTGATGTGTCTCTCTTATATCAATGTTTCTCTCTCTCTCTTTCCCTCCTCCCCTCCCTTCCACTCTCTCTAAAAAGCAATGGAAAAAATATCCTCAGGTGAGGATTAACCAAAAAACAGTTTTAGTGATGGTAAAATACATATAGTATAAATTTATTATCTTAACTATTTTTAAGTATAAAATTCAGTAGTATTAAAACATTTATAATATAGTACAATCATCACCACCATTCATCCATAAGAACTCTTTCATTTTGCGAAACTGGAACTGCATCCATTAAACAACTCTTCATGCTTCTCCCCCCTGCACTGGTAATTACTTTTTCGCTTTGTGTCTATTAATTTGACTATTCTTGTATCTCTTATAGGTAGGTTAATACAGTATTTCTCGTTTTACAATTGGCACATTTCACTTAGCATAATGTCTTCAAGTTTCATCCATGTTGTAGCATGTCAGAGTTTCTTTGCTTTGTGTATGTATATGCAATATTTTATTTGTCCATTCATTTATCAGTGGGTACTTGGGTTGGGTTGCTTCCAGCTTTTGGCTTTTGTGAATAATGCTGCTGTGAAAATGAATGCACAAATATGTCTTTGAGTCCTTGATTTTAATTCTTTTGAGTATATCCTTAGAGGTGAAATGGCTGGGTTTTGCTGTAATTCTAATTTTAATTTTTTTAAGGAATTGCCATTGTGACTGCATCGTTTTACATGTCCACTCACAATTCACCAGGGTCTCATTTTCTTCACACCCTCACCAACACTACTGAACGCATTTCACCATATTCATCAGCGCAAAGTCGGGTGGAGGGAGGTGCAAGCGGTGGGAGAAGGAAGATGTCGACTTTGAGTAACACGGAGGCACCATCTGAGGGTCCAGAGAGCATTTATTGGGATGTCCCCACTCCACCCAGCTTTCCCAAGGCTAGGGTGTGCCTCTTGCGTGTGGTGAGGGGCTGGGCAGTAAGAACAGTAGCACACCAACTGAGCATGGCCCCTTGCCCATCCCCCTTTTGACTGGAACTATCATCTGAACCCTCCAGCGGTACCAGCCATTCTGGAGATGCTATTACATGCCTTTTACACAAATGCACGCATACACACACACACACACACACACACACACACACACACACACACACCTACACATATTTCTAGTTGGTGTTTGGAAAAGTCTAAAAGGGCTGTTGTCATGTAGGGCCTGGGGGTAGGGATCCTGTAATGTGTGGGACAGACCAACGTAGGATTTTTCCCCATCAAACCACCTGTAAACCTCCCTGTGAAAAAGTAGAACCCTCTTGAGGGTATGAGTTTGGAGCCCAGGCCTGTGAAGGCACATGCTTAGCAGGCGTGTTGAGGGGCAGCCACACATTCTCACTGGATCCTTCTGGGTGGCAGGAGCATCCATCCGGCCAGAGAAACAATAAGGCTGACCCTCCCCACTCCTCCAGCCTCCGAGGGTGGAATTTTGCAGGTGAAGAGGATGTTAGGAGGCTACTCATCTTCACAACTTATGACCTTCTTTCTAAGATTTCCCTTTGGAGACTGCAGTTCCTCTGTCCTGCACGGATCTCCTCTTGTTGCCCAAAGCTGGAGCCCTCTTCGAGCCTTCAGGGCCATGTCTCACTTGAGGACAGGCCAGGCTGCTTTGCCCCAAAGCGCTTACACTGCCCAGAGGTGCGACAATGTGCATCTGTGGATGTGTTGCTGCCCTCGGCTACTTTTCCCAAACCTAAGATTGTCCACGAACCAAAGGAATCATGTTACTTCGATTTTCGCTATGATTTTATTGCCATACTGAGCAGAAAGTCTTAATACAAAGAAGGACTATGTGTCAGGTTAAACACAAATGAGAGTCACCATGGCTATTAATGAAATAAATACACTTTAATACAAAATAGGAGGTGCTTCCATGAAAGAATTATGACACGACCAGAAAGGTCTTTCCCAGCATAGAGATACTGCTCTTTGGGAATTACAGGATTCTAGTGTCGCTTGTTAGAGGCCAGCTTTAAAGGGACCAAGGTAAGAGTCTTTATAACTGCTGTGGTTCATGGACACAGGCGATCCCACTACATGTATCCCTGGACAGGTGGAGAGATCAGCTGTCATCATCTTACCCCAGGGATTATTCTTAGCACTGAGGACTAGAAAGCCAGATAGTATGTCTCCTTGTACAACACAGCATAAACTATGCATCATCATCTCTGGTGTACTCTGTCAAAAGTATTATGCTGGAATTACAGTTGTAACTTCCAATTTTCAGAACATACAGGAGACAGAAGAACAAGCTAAATGACACCAGAAGCCAGCAACCAGACAAATACGAAACATGAGACATTCTTGGGGGAAACTGATCTAGTTTTTCAACAAGTCAGTGACAAGAATTAAAATAGATTTACAAGGCACACCACTATGGGTTAAATCCTATTGTAGACAATCTGGCTATAAATTTAGGTTGTTCTTGAGAGATGGAAACTTAAATATGGAATTATTAATTTTTCTAAGTATGATAGTAGTATTTTTAAAACTTTAAAATATATATTTTTATTTATTTTAGAGTGGAAGGGAGACGGGGAGAGAGAGACAGAAACATCAATGATGAGAGAGAATCATTGATCAGCTGCCTCCTGCAGGCCCCATACTGGGGATTGAACCCACAACCTGGGCATATGCCCTGACTGAGAAACAAACAGTGACCTCCTGGTTCATAAGTCGATGCTCAACTACTGAGCCACACAAGCCAAGCTAAAAACTTTTTAAAAAAATTAAAACAATTTTTAAAAAATCTTTAATTTTGAAAGTATTATATAGGTCCTCCTTTCCTCCAATTAACCTCTTCCAATCCACTCCCAACCCACCCCAGGCCCTCACCATCCCATTGTCTGTGTCCACGAATTATTCATTAAAAACATTTTAATCTGAGAAAAAGTTTAAGGTATGTGCTGAAAATCACACACAGAGAGCTGGAAATATTGGAGGATTGAGCAAGAGTAAAAATTTGTCTTTATTTTAAATGAAAACCCCAATGCAAACTTGCTGGTACTGGTTTAATTAGTCAATTGAGTCCTGACTATGTACACAGCTCTACTAGATGCTGTTGGGAATATAACAGAGGGTTATATTATGATATAGGCAAGGCCATAAAATTCACTTAATGAAATACTAAAGAACAATTGCCTTCTAAACCATAAAGCAGAAACTGAAAACACCATGGATTTTCAGAGACAGGGAGTTCAGTGGCGCCCATGTGCTCTATAAAGGCTTCATGAGGAGGTGGAGTGGTAGCAAAGATATGGAGAGTGAGAACAATTAGGACAGCTCTGTGTGTGCCCACTCCTGTGTGCATGCCCAGTGTGTCAACGAGTGTGTGTGCCTGCACGTGTGTGCCCAGGCATGTGTCTGTCCCACATGCTCACACGTGTGATGGAGAGTTGTGTGGGTCCTGCTGCGTCCACTTGGAATTAGCTGGCAAGATTGCCCACAGAGGGTTTTTCTTGCTATACATTTGAAATAAAAATTTATTTGCTCTAAAGTTCTCTTTTGTAGTTACTTTCTGAGGGTTATTGTGATATATAAATATTTATCCTTTTCCATATTGGAAGCGGGTGTTGCCTCCCAATTTAGCTGCAACGAGGAATAAGCTGTACGCACATGTATACAGGTTTGACCTTTGCTGTATTTGTGCCTGGTCAGAAGGAGGCTTGGGGAGTGTTTCATGTGGTATTTTTCAAAATCTGAGACTAGATTCTAATCAAAATGCATTTTTCTAAGATTAGTTTTGCCATTTACCTAGCAAACTAATGAGTTAAATAAAGTTAAAGTCAATAGCATTCTCAATAAAAAGAACAGTGATTTGCCCTTTGATTTCACAATCCTGTCAGGGATTTACGGCATCGAATCCTTGGTTTCATCACAATATTTTCCTGTAAATTCTGTCCTACAGTAGAGAGAAAGCAGATTCATTTTCCCAAAGGATCAAAGTTATAATTAGAAACTGTGTAGTTTAAAAATTGTGAAAGCTCCAGTATACATATCCAAAGAATAGAATTTTAGAGTGGAAAAGAGTGTCAAAAGTGATGAGTCATAACCTCTTACTGCCCAGAGAGGACAAATGATGTGCCTAAGGTCCCACAGCTCCCAGCTGGGAAATGGCTGGTCTAGAGTCCTTGTGCCCTAGTTTCTACTTCACCATGCTGCCTCCTTTTTAAAAAATTCCAATAAAACGTGCAGAAAAATATGGATATGTGGGTTACACACGGGAGCCCCAAAGTTCTATCATGGCTGTTGAAATTTGTCCATCCACAACACGCAGCCCAAGATGTATCTCAGGCAAAGCCACCAAGAACAGGGCACAGGAGACCCAAGTCCTGCCCACACAAATACCTTCACTGAGGCCTCCTTGAATTCTCGGGCCTGTCTTGTTAGGCCTCAGTCCAGTTCCTGGGGATATCCTTGTGCTGCCGGCGTGTGACCTCAGGCCTGGACTCCGCCCTGAAGCCAAGGCAGGGGCCTGTAGAGGTTCTGTTTTACTAGGCGCAGGCCCACGCTAATGGCCACCACGAATTTACTGTGAGCAAACCTACGTTTCCCATGGTTCAGTTTCCTTGAGGACGACACAGGCCCTTCCAAGAAGCATGTGCATTTGGGTGCTGTGTATACGTGCCAGCTGGATGTCAGTTCCATGGCGTGACTTTGTCTCTATGGTAGGTATGTTAGATCGCTCTGGAGACTTGTTCCTTGTGGTAGCTATGTAGCCACATCTTCAAAGAGGGGGTAAAAATCAGGACGGAGCCCGTCACTGAGACGATCAGGAAGAGCCACAGGAAGATGCGGTCCAGAACTTGCGCTACGAATTTCCAGTCTTGTATTACCTGCGAAAGAGACAAAAAGATAGCTTCCATTTAGGAGGCGGGGCAACCATTCTGGATTTGTTCCAAGGCACTTAGAGAGGGTAATATTCCGATTTACAGTTTTCAAAACACACCTAACACATCGCCTGTACGATAGGCTCAGATTCTTCCCGGTCACTTCCCTAATGGTGCCCAAACCAAACGGCCTGTGAACACTGTCATCAACATTGAAGACGTACAATAGAAACACAGAATCGTTGATGCATTTGTAAGCATTGCTAATTAAAACGGGGGGAAACCCACTCTTTTTTTACACAAATAAAAAGCCAATATCTCTCAGTGTGATGCTTCCTGATATTACATATGAAACGAACCACAAATTTATAAATTAAGAATTTTCGTGGCTCAACGTCACAAGCCTATCTTTCTTCAACCCCACATGTGGGCTTGGCTGCTACAGCTCCAGAAGGATGGACACTGACAAGGAGGAGACCTGGCCAGGAGATGGCAGGGATTCATGAGGGAGAGAGGAGACCAAGGCCCTTTGGAGGAAGGGAAGTCGGGAGGGATGGGCAACAAGCTGTTAAGGGCAAGGTCAGAGCAGGAATAAGCAGCGAGGCTGGAGGACAGGCCAGTTATCATCTTTAAAGGGGAAAATGCCCTATTTCTACTACATGAGGATTATGTCCTATGTCTCAAGTCATAGATCTGAGTCCAGGACTGTTTTGAGCCTGAAATTCACAACCTCGACACACATTTTTTGTTCAAATCTGTAAGCTAAATAACTACACCCTTTTCTCTCACCAAAATATTGGTTGTATCCCTCTTTTATTTTTTTCTTTATTGATTAAGGTATTACATATGTGTCCTTATCCCCCCATCGCTCCCACACACCCCCACTCATGCCCTCACCCCCCTGGTGTCTGTGTCCATTGGTTAGGCTTATATGCATGCATACAAGTGCTTTGGTTGATCTCTCCCACTTACCCCCACCCTCCCCTATCTTCCCTCTGAGGTTTGATGGTCTGATCGATGCTTCTCTGTCTCTGGATCTGTTTTTGTTCATCAGTTTATGTTGTTCATTATATTCCACAAATGAGTGAGATCATGGTAACACTCTATTTTTCATATTAGTTTAAAAATCTGACACTTTCTGTTCCTTTACTTCCAAATACTATGGATAGAAATATCCATCATCCCATAAAAAAAATGAGAAATTACCAGAGACCAGAATAGCCTATTTAAAATGTAGAATTGAATTATTTTAAATAGAATTAAGTCTAATCATAAAGACTAGCGCTTAACCCAGAGTTGCTTCACTCTTTCATATTCTGTTTTTGTGAACTTCTTAAAAATCCATGCCCAAATCCATAATTTGTGTCAGGGTTTGTTTTAAATTTTGTACATGTAAAGCAGATAGCTAATAATGCCACATTTTAAACAACGACAGCAATTTTGTTGTAGATCGAAGCGAGAACATTCATTCTGGCGCAGCTCAGTGGCAGGCAGCATTATTCTGAACACTGTCGACTCACCTGGCTGATAAAATGCTCCTTCTTCACGTGCCTGGAGATGTATCTAATGGAGTCAGCAGCCTTTTCCAAGAAAGCAACCAGAACCTTCTCTCCGTCCCCCATCTGCTTCTGTTTCTTTTTTCCTAGGACTTTACCTTTCATCACCCGTTTCCTCTCGTCTTTCTCTGGGGAAGAGTAGCGATCCACGTGGTGCTTCATGCAAAGTAATTTAGGAAGTCTTTGCAGAAAGAGCCTCTTAACCCAGGGGGCCATGGGGTGGTGAGTGGACGAAGATCTGTGGTGAACATTAATGACGAACACGGTGACAATAATCGACAGGGTGACGAAAATCATGATGAACAACAGGTACTCTCCAATGAGAGGGATGACCTTGGAGGAGGAAGGGATTATTTCCTCAATTACGAGAAGGAAAACTGTCAGGGAAACAAGGACAGAGGTGGACAAGGAAAGTTTTTCCCCTTCGTCAGAAGGTAAATAGAACACCAGAACTGTCAGAAAAGAGAGTCCCAGGCAGGGGATTATCAAGAAGAGGGTGTAGAACAGAGGCAGGCGACGCAGGACGAAGGAATAGGTGATGAACGGGTAGGAGTACAGACCGTCTCTCCTGTGTCCCTTCATCCCTTTGGCATTTAGTATTTCCCATTCTCCATTATCGAAGAAGTCTTTCCTGTCGACGTTTTCGTTCATCAAAACGAGGTCGACCATGGTACCATCGTAAGTCCAGGACCCAAACTTCATGGAGCAGTTCTGCCGGTCAAATGGGAAAAACGTGACGTCCATGGTGCACGAGCTTTTGTAACTGGCAGGAGGGGTCCAGGTGACGGTTCCATTCGATTTCACGATGGCTTTGGTCATGAGGGAGCCTTCGAAACGCCCATCAGCACTGTGGCAAAAGTAGTTTCACTTTAATGGTAAGCTGGCTCTTACTCGTTTGGTGTGTGTGTGTGTGTGTGTGTGTGTGTGTGTGTGTGTGTGTGTTGTTTTTTTGCCCACCACTGGACTATTTGTATTTTATTACTTTCCTACTACAGGGTCAAACAATAATTCAAAAAGAAACAGTTCCCTCGCTACTTGAAGTTGTGCATTTCTCTTCATTATTTTACCAACATCAGGCTTTTCTATTTCTGGTCCTAACCTGCCCAGTGTCCTTTTCTTCTCTGATACTTACTTTTCAAAGAGAACTATGTCAGGGAGCCAGAGAGATTCTGATGGGACTTTAATGGAATGAATTCCGCCGTATTCATCAGGATTCCAGCGTAATTTGTGGTCTGTCCATTCCTGCATACAATTAGCACACTGTAATTTTATTCTGAACAGTCAGTGTTTTTCACTTTGGAATCTTCAAGTTTATGTTAATTTACTAGCCCAGTGTTTAACTTACATAGTGCATTACTAGGTCTTATGACCCTATCTGTGGCAGTTGGAAAGATAGGGCTTGAGCCAGCCTGTCTCAGGTCTTGCCCAGGCCCACACACCCATCCTACCTGGGATTTCCAAAATTGCTGCATCTACCTCTCAATGAAGAAGCTCAGCAACAAACAACACAGATTCATGATCCATTTTTTTCCAGCCTATTTTCTCTTATGAAACAAAAAGCAATGATAGATCTAACTCAGTTTCTTCTAGGTGACTTGGTCTAGTGATATTTTAATCTCACGGCAAAGGGTACAAATAATTTTGAACGTCACTCAAGAGTCCTGAACAAACATCCTCCCGGTATGTTCCTATGAAACATCCAGGATCTGCTGACTACTCCTGATGACATTACAACTTTTATCCAAGGAAAAAACATTTTCCAAGAATTTTTTTCTAAGTTTTAATCTGAACTTATCTTATGAGCACCCAATTACAGTTTCAAATTATACTCCTAATAGTGTTAGCCTCCAATGCTTACATATTTGTTCTCATCAGAGAATGCAATTATAGCATGTTTTACAGGGGCTGATGGACCCAGATTAACAAGCATGACCATTAATTGATCTGATTATGAAGGTTAAGAGGATGACATATGGATGACCCAATTACAGTAGAAATGGACTTCCTTAAAAAGATTTTGGATCCAGAATCTTATGAAATCTGACCTGAAAATTAAATTCTTCTATTCTACTGTCCCTCATGTGGACAGTTGAGTAATGATGTAGGATAATGCTAAACGACATTCCTGAACGCTAGAAGGGTATGCCCAGTGCGAGGCTTCCTGGAGCCCAGTGATGTCAGCTTTGTCATTAAAAAAATGGGGAGTCAGCAGAGGGATGACTTGACTGGATGGTAAAATATTACAATAAGCAGGATGCCTGAAAAGGATAGAACTACACACTCTAGATGAGATATTTTCTATTTTAGACAGTGTTTGTGAGGCTCAATCCTTGAAAAACAAATTTTTAAAAATATGAGTCTTTAAAAAGCTACATGTCCCCTAGCTGGTTTGGCTCAGTGGATAGAGTGTCAACCTATGGACTGAAGGGTCCCAGGTTCGATTCCAGTCAAGGGCACATGCCCGGGTTGCCTGCTGGATCCCCAGTAGGGGGCGTGCAGCAGGCAGCCAATCAATGATTCTCATCATTGATGTTTCTATCTCTCCCTCTTCCTTCCTCTCTGAAATCAATAAAAAATATATTTAAAAAAATAAAAAAATTCTACACTCTAAGGGATAAAAATTGCATGACAATTTATGGAAAAACCATGCCTATGAAAACTGACAGTTTAAAAGGCCAAACTAATAAAGTATTTACCATGTTTACTTGGTATTCACAGGCTTATTTTTCCTCCTTTCCTCTGTCCATTTTGAAAAGCAAATATAATTTCATTCCCATGAATAATTTGTTTCTTGCTGAGGAGACTTTTACCATCAGCAGCAGGTCTGAATCTCAGCAATGTTGAGGGAAACTCAGAGTCGCATTTTTTGTCTGTTTCACTTTTACCTCACTTATGTTTTCAAAATTTATTTACAATAAAACTCACCTTTTCTTGTGTATAGTTCTATATGCAAACAGTTGTATAATCACTAACACCATCAGGATACCAGAATAGCTCTGTTGCCCAATAAATTTCCCATTTGTAATCAACCCCTCCCACATCCCCAGCCCCTGGCATGCTGGTCTATTTTCTGATCCTATAATTTTGCATTTTCTAGAATGCCATATCAATGGAATCATGCAGTAGGTAGCCTTATGATCCTGATTTTTTACTTATCACATGGATTTTGGATTCTTCTATGTTGTATTAATTTGTTCATTTTTATTAGTAAAGTCTCCCATTGTATGAATATACCACAATTTTTAAAATTTTTAATATTTTAAAAGATATTTTTTGTTGAAAGTATTACATATGCTCCCCCCCCCCCCCGACTAACCTCTTCTAGCCCACCTCCACCCCTGCCTTAGGCCTTCATCACCCCATTGTCAGTGTCCACGGGTTATGCATATGTGCATACAAGTTCTTTGGTTGATCTCTTCCCACCCACCCACCCATCCACCCACCCCTGCCTTCCTTCTGAGATTGGATAGTCTATTTCATGCTTCTATGTCTCTGGATCTATTTTGTTCATTAGAGTCCACATATGAGTGAGATCATGTGATACTTGTCTTTCTTTGACTGGCTTATTTTGCTTAGCATAATACTCTGAATATACTACAAGTTATTTAACCATTCTCCAGGTAAAATATTTGTATTCTTTCCAGTATTTAATGCCATAAATAAAGCCACTGGTTTTCTGTCACCTGCACCTAAAACGTTCTCGGCTGATCCTGGGGAGAATCCCAGTGGCCCCTGAGCAGGCAGCATGCTACCTGTACATAGGCAGTGAGCCCCACAGCAGACAGACACGTTCTCAGACAGACTGACTGGAGTTGAGCCCTTGCATTCTAGCTCAGTCTTGGAAAACAATGTTAGTGAGCACAGCTAATGAGCCCAACCCCACAGTTCCTCCCTTTGGACCAAAAGATTTTTGGAAATGAAATCATCTGCTTCTTGGATCCAGCTTTCTCTCCACTCCAGGCACAGCCAGTGTTCACCTATGCCCAGCTCTGCACTGCAAAGGGGGAAGGAAGGTGCACGGCTGATATGCTGGGGCCCCTGCCTTGGTGCAAACACCGGTTCTACCAGCTGTCTTAAGAGAACTGGGCCAAACCCCAGGGCGAGGGATTTTTCAGCCAGAAAGTTTTGCCTTGCTTGCTGGCCCTCGAACCGCAGCATGAACAGCTGTGGCCAGAGTTAACAGAGAGGTAGTGGTATATTATGGGGCTCACAGTTGGGGGGAATTAATGCATTCCACAAGCGTGCCAGGCTTGTGTGCGCGCGGAAGACACACCACCACCGTGTACTCCAGCCTGGTGCTACCTCAGAAAGTAAACAAGTAAACTAGGAGACAACTGATAACCACACCTGGGGTCCTTGCTATGAAGGGGGAAGGGGGTGCAGTTGTGGGCAGGGAAGAGACTTCTGAGGAGTTGACCCTCCAGCTGAGACCTGAAGGGTAAGAAGGAGCAGTGGGCGGTGGGTGCAGAGATCTGCCGTAGATGGAGCCGTGTGAGGGATGCGTTTGAAGCCCTGAGGAGGATGTAAAGAGATCTGTAGTGGATTCAGGCTGTGTTCCTGAGCAGTGAAGACAACGGGCTAGCTGACTTTGGTGACGGCTGCTTACTTGGGTGCACCCAGGAGAGAAAGGGCACTGAAGCCCTGGGCTCCCCATGTGGATTGTCCTTTATTAGCTGCAGGTGGAGAGAGTCACCCCTCACAAGCTCGGTGTCCTTCTGTAGCCAGACCTGGGGAATCGGATGCTGTCCCTGACATGCCCATCAGAGGGCCTCACCGAATTTCTACCGTGATGTGAGTCCACTGCCATGCTGGCCGAGCCCCGTGCCCCCAATGACCACGTCGTGTTAGACTCGGCAGGGTCAGGATGAGGATCCAGAGCCCAAATCCTCTATCTTGTCCTCTAAGGAGCTGTGAGGTTTTCTGGGCAGGTGCCTGTTCTCTCCGGAATCTCTAGGAGCATCTGGAGGTTAACCTCCTGCCTCTTCCCTTCTTAAAGTAAGAGATTACAAATAATATCCTGTGTCTGTGGAGCACGTTCTAGCCATGACTCTCAGAGCCCTTGACAAATATCAGCTCCACTTCCCACAGCTCCCAGTGGAGGGCTGTGTTATTGCAGGAAACAGGAGAGTAGGGGGCATGTCGGGGCCAAATAACAAAGTTAATCTACCACTAAGAAAAAATGGAAAAATACTCTAAGTCTAGGTTTCCTAACTTGGAAAAGTACAATTTCAAATCCCTGTCATGAATATCCCCTTAAAGTTGTCTTTTCTTACATATATTACCTGAAATATCACTCATAAATGTCTACCTGTTACCACAATTCAGAATGAAATTTCATTGAAACCTAAATCATAAGATTTTTTTTTTACCATAAATAAATTCTTCAAATTATTCTCAGTTTAATAGTAAGACAACTAGATAGTCAGGGACAAATATTCCTTGCTGTTGCTGTGATTTGCAGCCTGAATAGGACATCCCTGGGTAGTTCAGTTATCTCAAGATCAGATGAGACTTTCTTAAAACCAAATTAATGTTGACTCATTTTAATCTTAAATACAGCAACATGCCATATCATATGTCTCATATTCCCATTACATCCATGAATTGTCTGTGCCAACAGATGGGATTTGTCATTAAGGATGAGAAAACCCTCCACCCACCCACCCCAGCCTCCCGCCCCCCGGCTGTCAGCCTGCTCTCTATCTATGAGTCTGTCTCTATTTTGCTTGTTAGTTTGTTTTGTTCATTAGATTCCACATATGAGTGAAAGCAAAGAAGAAGAAAAAAAGGAGAAAAAACTCATGGACATAGACAACAGTGTGGGGATTGCCAGTGGATGGAGGTGGGATAGGAGGGGAGGGGAGGAAAAGGAGGGTTTAGGGAGGATAAATGGTAATGGCTGGAGAGTTGAGTTGGGTGGTGAACACACAATACAGCGTACAGATGATGTGTTTAGAATTGTGGACCTGAAACCTGTATAATTTGATTAACCAGTGTTACCCCAATAAGTTAATTAAAAAGCAAAAAAGAAAGGATGAGAAAGCCTACAAAGGTGGCACAAGGAAATGACATTTACTGAGTCCCCGCTACATGCCAGATAATGTGTGCATCACATTCACACACAGGATCTCATGTAACCTCCCAAGGACTCTGTGAGCTAGGTATTGCTTCCATTTTATAGATGAAGAGATTGAGGGGCAGAGAGGTGAAATAAGGTTTATATCGCCGGCCTTTTGACACCTAAATTTCTGCTCGATAACTCTTCAGGGTCCACTTGAATCAGAAGACCAAACTGGCCTATTTTGCTAAGATCAGGGCGAGGCTGTAGAACAGGCAGGAAAATGAGATGGTGAGTAAGTAAAGGTCTGAGATGAATTCGTGGACTTGGAAGTGCCACTGCAGGTTGTACAAGGTAATCAGGCTTTGAGGAGATCGCTCAGACATTTAGAGCGCGGCGATCCCTTCTACAGCAGATTTGTTTCTTTCTCCTCAAAGACCAGCCCCAGGGATCTATCCAAAGAAACCTTCCTTATGTTTGCTGAACTTTTTGTTGACCTAAAACAGGAATCAGTTGTTGGAGGAACAACACTAGTTTAAGATGTCGGCCTTGGCAGACATTCAGGCAGCTCTCTTTTCCTCGGGACCCTCCTGGGGAGAGGAGAGGAGAGGAAACTGTTCTCAGCTACAGCGGAGCCAGCTCACTCAGAATCGTATTGTCTTATTGGTGTTTACCCCACAGCCTAGTCCAGTGCCTTACCCAGTGCCCAGCACAGAGCAGGTGCTCAGTAGTGCTTGTTGAGTGAGTAAATTTGACATCTGTCATCATTGTGATTATTCAAATAACACCATCGCGGCAAAGGGTCAGACCCTTGGGTCATAATGAAAGGTTGGTTTCATCTCCATTAAGGTGCTTGCGATGCAGTTTTTTGTTTTTTTTTTTAGCCCTGAACATGACAAAACAGAATCTGAATGGCTAGGGCATTACGTGCCTTCTCACACAGTTTCAGTGAATCAATGTTAATAATCTATTTATAATTTGCAGGGTTTTGACTTCTCTCTGGAAGCACGAAGGAGGAAGACAAATGAATTTGCAAAATAAAATCAATAAAGTGAAGTAGAAATAGCTCCACATAAAGGACTTTCTCAGGCTGTCTCTAAATTTGTGCTTGAGAGGAAAGAAGAGGAATGTCTAAATATAACCAAGAACTGTGGAAATAGAGGCTAACACAGAAGAATAGGGTAAAAAAAACAATAAAAACCACAACAGCACAAAAAACAGGTATCTCAGTTGTGTATGCTACCGTGGAACATACTCTTGTTCCAATTACATCGCATTTTATCCTCTCCATAGATATAAATTAGAGAGTAATTTTAGTAGAGTTATACAGGGAAAGGATTTCCGAGAGGAGTGTGAGAGCTTTGGGAAGTCTTGTTACTGGGAATGCTATTCAGGTGATTCACAACTTCTTCACCTTTTTGGCTTACATAACTATCGATTCTGTAAGATCCAGTTTAAATATCTCCTCCCCTTGGAAGCTCTCCCTGTCTAATTTTCACAATTCCTTATGTGTACTTTCTTTATAGTGTTGATCATATTACAGTAGTTGTTTTTTTTTTTTTTTAACACAATTAAAACTGTCTTCTCTCCTTAAAGGCAGGGCTGTTTTATTCTTTGTGTGTCCAAGATCTACAGAGTATCTGGCACTTAGTAGGCTCTCAATAAACCCTGTGCAATGAATGAAAGATGCTATGAATCCTTACTTCATTCTCTCCTGTCTTTCTAGACCAAGTCCATGAGATGTCCTAGAGACTGAGGAATCCATGCCTTTGAAGACAGGGTTAGAAACTAGCCTTTACAGAGATAGATAGCACTGTGAGAACTGGACATCTTCCCGCAGCTCTTTCCCGTCTGAGGAAGGGAGTGATTTCTCTATATAGTATAAGCCAGACTTCACTTAGCAGTGTGGAAATTGGACACTTCAATTCACCAGTCCTCAGTTTTCTCATCTGCAAAGTGGGAATCCTAAAAGAAATTAATTTATAAGGTGGCTGTGGGAATTAACTGAGTTCTTTCTCATGAAACACCTAGCTTGGTGCCTAAGCACTTAGCACGCAATAGTAAATATTAGGTATTATTGTTATTAGCTGCTCTGAAACTGAGATCCATGTAAAACACCAGTGATAGCTTTTCTTTTTACATCCATTTTATTGTTTTCATTGTCCATTTTTTGGTACCCTTCATCTTTCTTTTACCCTTACAAATATTAAAAAAAAAAAAATTTTAAACCCCATAAAGTGACATCATGGCAGAGTTCAAATACCTCCTATTCCATGCAGCCTTCCCTGCCTGCCACTCATGCCATAGAATTCATCCTTTTTTGCCCCCGTATTGTTTGTGCCATAAGATAGTACTTACTAATACCTGTGTGACATTTCACTCCTAATCCAGTTTGTGTGAGTGGAGCAGTTTTGATCATTTTCTTTGCGATTCTATGAAATGTGCGGTTGCTTTGCTATTTCGACTCCTCCTATGATTTAGAAACAGATCTTGATGTTTCTAGGGCAAAGGCTGGGTGTGGCAGAGAAGGCCCAAGCCAGGGAAACCCAGGTTCCAGCCAGATGAGCTCTTAGATTCTATCTCTGAAAATGGGGACAAGGATACCTGCTTCGCTAATCAAGAGTGGCTGAGAACGCATATGAGAGAAGAGATACGACAACCTTTGCACATTAAATGCAACCCACGTCTCTGGAGCGGGCCCAGAGGCGGCAGGCGGGCTTTTCCAAGTTCAGGTGGCCCCCCTCCTACAGATCCCTCTTGCTCCGTTTTGTTGGAGGTTTTAGATTTTGATTCTGTCCTGACCTGGAGGCGTTCTCCAGGTCCCTGATTCCGGTGGCCTAACTGCTGGGAGTCATTTCCAAAGCTTTAGTGAAGGCCCGAGAGCCCATGGCTTCTTCCCTTCACGTCTAACCTTGTTCTTTGGCTGATGTTTTCTTGCTTTCAAAACCTCAAGAAAGTATAAGGCACCTACTATCTCAATTTCACAGGACAAGGGTCCCTGGACCAGTGTTTTATGTGGCAGATCAGTAAAAGCTTAACTGTGAGGAGCAGTTGGAGAAGGAGGAGTGTGTGAAGCAGTAAGTTTGTTTGTTGTTTTTCTCCCTCAGACTATTTACAGAGAAGTTTTTCTTCTCTCCCCTGCCAGTTCAAATACAGGACTTCCTTTTGATTTTTATTAACTCAAAATACCTCCAAGTTCCACAGCCTCTGAAGTGGGATAAGTCTCTGAAGATAGAGATAAGTATATAGGACAATACGGATTATTTAGATTGTGTTTTTATACCTACATTCTCAGCTTATTATTTTCTCCTGAAGATCTTCATCTGCAAGTAAAATAAAATGCAGATCTGTTTCATAGGCTGCTAGCATAGCTGCCAATGAAAGAATCAGAGAAACTGAAAGCAGTAACTATGCTCTCACTCTGACCAAAGCTTTTGGGTAGAAGCAACTTGATGACCCTAAGTGAAGCTTGTGGGTTCCCCTCACAGTTCCCGTTATCCATCGTTCCTTATGAACCATTAGTAGAGAGATCTAAACAATGTCCACTAAACCGGAATAAATAACTAACTTATTTCAATATAAAGAAATCAACAGTATTTGCATGTTAAAACTGAGCGAGATATTTAAGATAGCACCACCAAGAAGATTTTAAATCTGTGGGAGATTAAGTGGTATCTGAACATTCATTAAAAAACGAGCCGTAACCAGTTTGGCTCAGTGGATAGAGTGTCGGCCTGTGGACTGAAAGGTCCCAGGTTCGATTCCGGTCAAGGGCATGTGCCTTGGTTGCGGGCACGTACCCGGTGGGAGATATGCAAGAGGCAGCTGATCGATGTTTCTCTCTCATCGATGTTTCTGACTCTCTATCTCTCTCCCTTCTTCTCTGTGAAAAATCAATAAGATATATTTAAAAAAACAAAACAAAACAAAAAAACGAGTAATTGCTAACGAGTAATTGCTAACAAAAACAAAAAATAAGCAATTAAACCAGCCTTCTCGCCTCCTCAAGGAAGTGCCAATATTTTCTCCTTTCAGATAACACGCGCAACATCCGGTTTTGAAAGGTAATGATTTCCTGACAACTGGAGACCGAGCTCCTGGGGACAGATGATTCTGTTTTAGGAAACAGGCCACAGTCGAGCTAAAGCAATCACCGAGGCAGAGCGCTGAAGACCAGTGATGGCGAACCTATGACACGCGTGTCAGAAGTGACACATGAACTCATTTTTTTGGTTGATTTTTCTTTGTTAAATGGCATTAAATATATAAAATAAATACCAAAAATGTAAATCTTTGTTTTACTATCGTTGCAAATATCAAAAAATTTCTATATGTGACACAGCACCAGAGTTAAGTTAGGGTTTTTCAAAATGCTGACACGCCGAGCTCAAAAGGTTCACCATCACTGCTGAAGACCATTCAAACGCATTTTCAGTTACATCAGAAAAACATATTCATTGTTTTGTTTGAGGTGTCACTTTATTCTGAAATTCATGGTGGACTCCTCCTGTCATGCCCTGCTTTTTCTCTGTAGGGAGCAACAAGACTCCTGGGGGTAGGTTTTTCCCACGGAGGACCAATAGAGTGAGGGGGAATTTAACATCATCAGTTTTCTCGTCCAAGTGCAGTGCCTTAAATGGGGGAAAGTTGCACCCTGGAGCCTTTACCCCCTTTTCTCCAAGTAGCCCAGGGACCAGTGCCCAGGCCTCATGACCAGTTACCCTCCCACCGCACGCCCAGTGGACAGTCCAACAGAAGGAACAACAACAGAAGAAGGCACCCTGTGAGTGCCCAAGACCTGCTTTCTGACTCTTGCAAAAGAAAATTAAAAAATAATAGACCCACCCTGGCTGGGTGCCTCAGTTGGTTGGAGATTCATCCCATACACCAAAAGGTTGCGGGTTCAATCCCCAGTTGGGGTGTCATATGGAAGGCAACCCACTGATGTTCCCCTCCTCTTTCCCCCTTCCCTCTTTCTAAAAAATCAACAAAAACATATTTAATAAAATAAATTTAAGAAAGATTTTTTAAAAAAGAAACCCACCTGCTCCCAAATTTCTCCCTAAAGAACCCAATGTGCCCTTTAAAATAATTATTTTTCAAATAGGAGCCTTTCTAAAGAATGGAGATAATCAGGTTGGCAAGTATAGTTCTTGAGTTGACATTTACCTGTTTGAGCCACACATTTGTTGTCATCAGCTGGTTCTTTTCATCCTAAGAAAATGACAAATAAAAAGATGTAAATTCAATTTAAGTGAAGTTGCATTTTGGATTTTTTTTTTTGTCAGAATGAACTCTCTGAATCTTACCTTTGAGGTGTTCAAAATGTAAAGAATTCTCAACTTAAGAACTTAAATGCATGAGATCCTAAAATATTATGCATATTTTGCTTAAAATGAAAAAAAAATAATTAAAGCAAGTGGCGGTTCATTGTGGTGGTATTTGTATGTAATTGCATAACCCAGGAAGCACTTTCGGGATGCCAAGTAGAATTAAATATTAGCTAAATTGGAGTGGGCTGTGCACGATTTTCTAGAAGGACTCCTGGGCATTGAGTCAGCTGGGGTGGGTGAGTGTGTGGTGGGTGGGGGGTTGGGTAACGTGGGAGGATTACTCTGGGACTTTGGGGACCATAGCAGGATGATTTTGCAGGATTTGGGTTGTTACAGTTCGCTGATTTTCCAGGAACGCAATCATGGCAGAAGTACGAGCTCAGCAAGAAAATTAGCAGAGAATCCTAAAGTGTGGGTGAGGTCAGGGAAAGGTGCGGGTGCCTGAGGGGCCCCAGGAGGGTGGTGGGGTTGCCCAGGCACTGGCTCTTGCTGTCATCATCTATCTGCCCTCTCTCCTTGCAGTTGCCCCTGCCAGCCCTCCCTCAGCTGAGAGGACTCTGGATTAGCCTGGGTTCAGCTCTCCTACTCTCCTGCCTCCCCTCCTCACCCCGGGTGCCCACAGCAAACCCATCAGCGGCAGTGCCCATCCATCCTCGCAACCATATCCACCCTCCAGCAAAAAGGCCCTGCACTAACGGTGTCGCAGTGAAAATGCACCCTGTGACACTCCTCATTCTTTCCTCGGGTCATTTCACTGGCTTCTTGGGGCAGATTTTCTCTCCCAGTGAGTTATTTTTAAAATCGAAATGGCAGCCATGGGGAAAGAAAGCAAAATAAAATCTCAGACTCAAAAAGAGGTTAAGGAATGCATGTTCTTTTTGGGTTCGTGTCAAGGATTACTCACCACATCTACAAGTTGAGATATTTTCAGTCCAAAGTGTACTTTTATGGTGTCATTAGAATTTAATACAGGGCGAACCCACTTCTGATAACCTTGGAATAAATGTCTGAGGAGGACATCTTCAGTTTCGGCTATTGAACGGAACTCCCCGGCTGCTGCAAGAATCATGAGGGAACCTGAATTAATGGGAGAGGCATAACGGTTGCTTTCGCATCCGATGGCTGAACCTTCCCATACAGGGTGTCCCCGAAAAATGTATACACGCATTAAATAATTATAAAGGCGGTGTTTATTAAAATACCTTTCATTTTCAAAATTGAGCTATCAGCTGTTAAAGTGTGTCCACATTTTTGGGGGACACCTTGTATTCCTACACGGCCTAATTCAGCAAAGACAGTTTTGAGGGCAGCAGGGTTCTCTTTAACCATTCTCCACACCCACAACACACAGCTAAAAGTTGACTGTAAACTTTACCCAGAACTTGACTCTCACGGGGTCTTCACATCATGAGGTCAACGCCTTGACCCCAAAAAGATCATCTACAATCATCCCCTTAGTCTCTACCTCACAATTCACCTCCTTACAGACATGGGCTCTGTCCATGTGCTATTGTTCATCACTGCCCATTGGGCCCCTTCATACATCTTATCACAATTTGTCGTTTACAGTATTTGTCATTATTCATCTCCCCCTTGAGGTGCTTATCCAGCACCTAGAACAGTGCCTGGCCCATAGCAGGTGCTCATTTTATATCCATTTAATGAGTGGACCGATGAAGGGAGTGTGTCAGGACCACTTTCCAGCCCTCCAGCACATATCCACTCAACCCCGCCTCGTGCCCTGCACGGTTTTCTCACTTCTTCCTGAGAACATCTTCCTTCATGAAGACCTTCCCTGGTCCACAACCAGGGTCAGCGGCTCTTCTCTGCCCCTAAAGGTGGGAGAACCTGAGAAACTCCCTAATTTCAGGTTTTAACCCTCCAGTTGCAGAAATGGCTTAGGAATGCAGTCTAGAGATATGTTTTGTCTCTTCTCAGTGTTATCCTATCAAGTTTAAAACAAGGAAGCTCTTTGTTGTTGCTTTAAGTATAGCCCCCTCTTCATATATTCAGCAACCTATTAATATCCTACAGCAATTCATCCTGCACGGTGTGTTTTACCATAGAAAACCTTTCTTCCCACTGAGAGATACACATTATGAGAAATGATCACATGCAAGACACCCCCCCTCCCCAGTTTACCAGATCAAAACCCCAAAGTTCTTAGTAGGAAGAAAAGCACAATCGCACACATTCCCCATATGTGCAGGACACCTTCCGCTTATTAAGGGAGTAGAAATTCGAAATGCATCCTTGCGGCTCCTTGGAGTGAACAAGGGTATGGATAGGACAGGCTCTGTGAGTGCTTCCACTCTTTTCTCCTTTGCTTTAGAAAGTGTATTAAAATGCAAATGAGCGACGGAGAGAGATAAAACCTTACATTTGTGCTTATTTATTTAAACTTGGATGCTTCAATACTCTCAGCAAGCGAGGCTGGGCGGCTGCCAGGGCAGCGCTCTGTAAAGGCCCTAGAACCTTCCTGGAAACGGAGCGGGAGGGAGGAAATTGAAATTCCCCGAAGCCTTCAGAGGAGAGAGGTGTTCATCGTTCCGGCTGAACCTCCAGAATTTCCCTACCCCACGTCCTGTCTAACTTCCTTCAGAATGCATCGCAACAATGATTGCGTCCCACCGTCTCCACTGGGGATCACCACCCTGCTCCCGAACTCCATCATCTCTCTCTCTTGGATTCCAGCTCCGCTTCCTAACGTCTCCCACTCTTGTTCCTTTCCCAGTCCATTTCCTGCCCAGCAGCTAGAGACATTGCTTCAAAGCTGAAAAGCATATGTCAGTTCCCTGCTCCAACCCACCAAGGGGCTTCTCATCAAATTGAGGAAAAACATCCCAAGTTGTTGCCATGGTCTCCCAGGCCCTCTGTGGCTGCTACCCTCTCCCCTCTGCCTGCAACCCCCCCCTCCCCCGCCTTCTAGTGCCTCAGGCCCATCTGCTCTTTGCAGAACAGGCCAGTGTGGTTCCACTCTGGGAAGGTCTTGCCCCACACTCATTCCTTCACTTTTCCCCTTTGCTCAAATGCCTTCTCCTTAAGGAGGTCATTCTAGGCTACAGGATCTAAAAATCTCTCCCCACTTTCTATCCCTTTATGGAAATTTCTCTTATGTCAGAGGCTTGATCATATTATATGTTTATTTGTTTATTGTCTGCCTGACTCACTAGGAAATGCCAGCTCCAGGGCTGTCTCCCCAGCTCCTAGGGCACTGCCTGGCACACAGTGGCAGCCGAGCTAACAAACATTGAATGACAACGCAGTTATCTGCTTGGCTTTTGTTTGCCAAGCAGTTTTTGGAGGGTTTGGGCCAGAGCTGAATTGCTAGGGAGAGGAGCGAGGCATGGGGGCCACAGCTGTTCCCCTTTCTGTGGCTTCCCCTGCGCAGGCAGCCCCTCCTTCAAGGGGAGAATGTTTTTTGTGGCAGACACTGTTAGTTCTCTGCCCAACAGTCATTTGCCCTTTCTTCCTTACTACCCGATGCTACTTTATTCAGGATTGCATGGTGCCCAGTTAGAATATTCCCCTCTCAGGCTCCCTTACAGCTAGGAATGGCCGTATGACACCTGTGGCCAAGTAAGAAACAAACAGAAGCCACTGAGTGAGGTTCACTCAAGAGGATGGACTCAATCCAACCTGCACCTTTTCAACCTTTCATCTTTTACCCTCTGCCCTTTCTTCTTCCTTCCTGGAACTGGGACATGATGTCTAGAGAATTAGCCACCCAATATGCAAGTGAGCCTGATGAAAGCTGCACATACAAGAGGGCAGAACGGAAAGCCTGACGCAGCCTGGGTCCCTGATGGCATGGCAGGATTGCCCCAGCAGCCCTGGACTGCCTGCCTCCAAATTTCATGGTGTGTGAGAAAAGCAATCCCCCGTTTGGCTAAGCTGCAGGGGCCGCTGTCACGTGCATCTGAGAGCAGTTCCATCTTCTGAGAGTGACAGAGAACTGACCTTCCCTGAGAGCCCTTGTGACCAACCTCAGCCCAATGAGTAAATATTACATAAGACAGCATCTCACAACAGATGGAGACACTCCAGGGAGCTGAGACACTGAATAATGTCTGAACCAAGACACACTCATGCATATACACACACACACACACACACACACACACACACACACACACACACACACTTCTTAGCTTGGACGACCCTGAGCCATTATAATTTGGGACATGAAAGAGATCTCTCTCATGGCAGGAGAATTTTACTCTTGTTTTGAAGGGAGGTGGGGTTGCATGTTGGGTTGGGGCTTCTAAAATTAGGATCTTGACATTCCTGGGATTGGTCACCCCCGAAGCCATACCCTCCTTGAGGATAGGTGGGCCCAAAGGGAGATGAGCAGGTCTGCTCCTTCAGGGACCTGTATATGCTTTGATCCATGTGTCCAGTGTCAGAGGGTGAGTGGCTGTCTGAATCAAGGGAGGGAAAGCACAAATCTGTACTGGCTGCTATGGGCTGAATGTTTGTGTTCCTTCAACTTCACGTTGAAGTCATGTTATATCCAATGGGACTGTATGTGGAGATAGGGCCTATCAGGAGGTCATTAAGGAGAAGTGAGGTCATCAGGGTGGGACCTCACTTCTCCTCAGGATTGATGTCCTCATAAGAAGAGGAGGGAAGACCAGGGATCTCCCTTCACACAAGCACTAAGGAGTAGCCAAATGAGGACACAGCCAGAAGGCAGCCGTTTACAAGCCAGAAAGAGAGTTCTCACTGGAAACTGAATTCCTGGCACCTTGATCATGGGTTCCTAACCTCCAGGACTGTGAGAATAAATTGGTAAGCCACCAGTCTGTAGTAGAGTATTTTGATATGGCAGCCCAAGCTGACTCCTACAGTCTGTATTGACCAAAATAGACCCGACAGGCCAAAGGTGTCATGCTTTTGCCTAATATCTTCAAGCTTCCTGAACTCTCTGAAAATAAAAGCTGGAGCCATTGATGTTATTGGAGCAGGTATAGAGCACAGCCCTGGAAATGTTTCTGGTTTGTCTGCTTTGTAGACTAGAACATTATGAGGAAGAAAAAGTGCTTCCATCATTGATTTTTTTTTTGAGGCCAGGGCCTCAGTAAATATTGTATGACGTTTAGTGAATGAACGAACGAATGAATGAATGAATGCACAAAAGGCCTAATCGAGCTTTCTGTGCACAGGGGAAGGAGGCTGAGGGATCCCAGCACTAGAGGATACAGAATCACAGATGTGCTCAAGATTACCAGGACAGGTGTTGCCTGTGTTAAGGAATAAATGCATTCCTGAAAAGCTGTGTGTAAACAACATTTTTTCCAATGAATATAGTTTAAATTAATTAGGCAAGGCCAATATCTAATCTAATAAAAGAGAAACATGCAAATTGATGGTACCTTCACTATGCCCAAGCCACGCCCACCAGCCAATCAGAGTGACTATATGCAAATTAACCCAACCAAGATGGCAGCCTGCAGCCACAGAGCTGGAGCAAGCAGGAGGCTTGGTAGCCCTGGCTATGGAGGAAGCCAAGCTTCCCGCCTGCCCTGGCCGGCTGTGGCCTCTGCTAAAGGCAACAAAGTTTCAATTATAGAAGATAAATAAATCCCAGATACCTGCCTCCAGCCAGCCTCCACAGGGAGCTTGGGTGGCTGGGGGCTGTGGCTAACATGCAAACAGCCATCAGCCCCTCACCCAGACTGGCCAGGCACCCCAGCAGAACCCCCACCCTGATGGCTGCCAGCACAGCAGTGATGGCGGGAGCTTCTCCCGCCTCCTCAGCAGCACTAAGGATGTCAGACTGCAGCTTAGGCCTGGTCCCCGCTGGCAAGTGGACATCCCCCAAGGGCTCCTGGGCTGCCAGAGGGATGTCTGACTGCCAGCTTAGGCCCGATCCCCCAGGGAGCAGGCCTAAGCCAGCAGGTGGACATCTCCCGAGGGGTCCCAGACTGTGAGAGGGCACAGGCCGGGCTGAGGGACCCCCTCCCCACCGAGTGCACAAATTTTTGTGCACCAGGCCTCTAGTAATAAGATAAATGGACAAAATGAAGAAGCTTCTCTTAGAAGGTGACACTGCCTCCCCCCCGCCCCCCCCCCCACTGCCCCCCACCAAGTCAGCTTCCTGACCGGGAGGATGGGAGAGCATTTATATTCATAACTACTTCAGCATTAATTAAACAAGAAGGAAAAGTGAAATGATAAAGAAGCAAAGACAACAGAACTGGGACGGACCTCCAAGAAGACCTAAGCCCTCATTTCACAGGTGAAGGTTTGGGGGTACCCAGCGGGGGAGTGACTTGCCCAGGGTCACCCCGTTCAGTTAATAAGTGGTGGGTGTGGCTCCTGACTCCCAAGTCCACAGTCTTTCCACCAGCCTATGAGACTCTGAAGATTGAGGAGGCAAAAGACGTTCCCGCCGCTATGGGCTCCTTACTGTCACATAAAAACTGTTCCAACAATTCACGTCCATGAACAGATGCTAATTGTTACGCTATTTTTGTTGCTGTGTTGTTGTTAGCATTGTATTTTCCAAAAACACTTTCGTGTTGTTTAAAGCAACCTGTTGCCGGGAGGAATGATGTTCTGAAACCAGGTCACAGTTCATCTTCGTTTGGTCTTAGGGAGACGCTTAACTCTGGCGACTGTGTCCTCTGACCCTCCTCGAATCTGCCGGTGCTCCGTCAGACTGCTTTCCCCGGGACCTCTAGAACGGGCACCTCCCTCTATGATCACTCTTCTTGGAGGTGGTCCTCCAAGAAGACTTAACCATGGTCCTCCCACATTTCCTTGCTTTGAGTTCTGCTTTGCATGCTCATCCCTCTTCCCCCAACACACACACTTAGTCTAACACACATCTTCAGAGGATGTGTGCTGCCTGTTTGCCTGTTAAAGCCTTTCACCAACTCTTTTGGTAAAAAAGGCGTTTTGTTTCTCCCTTAACCCCAGTCCCTCCCCTTTCTCTTCTCCTCTCCCTCGCCCTCTCCTTTTCCCTCTCCCTCTCCCTCGACCTCGCCCTGCTAACTCTTTGTCTCATTCTCCCTTGGGACTAGACAAGCAATTCCACGGGCAGGGGCTGGGAGAGGCAGCACCAGAGAGAGAGCACATGCAGGGGACTCGGACAGGCAGGGATGGGAGCCCTTGTGTATTTCCTCCAAGGGGAGCCCGGGCTGGGAAAGCGCTCCAGGAGGGAGCGCTGCTCTTGGCTCAGGATGCTGAGCCGGTGGCCAAACCTGTCACTCATTAGAATGAAAATCCAACAAATATTTACTTAACACTGAGAGGCCTGCACTCAGATCCGGAGACATGAGTTCTGGTCCTGACTCCAAGCCGCAGGATCTTAAGCAAAGCATTTAACCTCGCCCAATAAAAACACAGAGCAGGAGACCGGTAAGGGCCCTACATACACTCACACGCCCCTGCTTCTAGGATCTCTGCGTTCACCAAACAGCCACACAAGGTAACCTATTAATGCCAGATGTTTGCTGCCCTAAAGCAATGAAAGAGAGCCAAAGTTGAAGATGCACCATTGATTAGAGGACAGACCTTCACCCCTGGCGGCCGCTTACGGAAGCAGAGCAGGCGTCCAGGTAAAGGTGCCTAAAGCTATCAAGGGACTGGACAGGAGTCACCCCCGTGAGGAGGTGAGAGCTCTCTCCGCCCCAGCAAGTGGAATCGGAATTGGAAGAGATTCATTTGGATGAGGCACCCAGCAGCAGCTTGAGACAGAGGAATGTTTCTTTGGAACCTACAGCGTGACCTTGTGCTCTCTTTATGTCTCTTGATCTCGTTTCCTCTCCTTCCTCCGGGCTCTCAGACCCGCTGCTCCCTCCTCACCCTCATATCAATACTTCAGCAACATTCTGACAAACTCACTCCCACCAACGTATGAATAATTGATAAGACTCGATAGATGAAACTTCCTGTGATTACTTACGGTTTTATTGAAGACAACACTTCATTGTTTATTCTCAGCTGGGAGAGTAAGGAAATAATTGAAGAATTTCAAACTTCAGCAAGTATGTTTGAGAGACGTGCTTTTTTTTTTTGTTTTGACACCTTTTGGTATATTTTGGCTTTGCTTTCCATGATCACCACCTTGTCCCCCCAAAAAGGCATACCACAAACACAGTAGCCTTTTCTGTTAACACATAGAGCTAGCCTGAAGAGTGAAAGCCAATATACATATTTAATGGATTCTTGCTAGCAGGAGAGGCTATTAGAATGGTTGTGTTTTATTCCCTCTTGCATCCCACATGCTAAAACCATTCCTAGGATACAGGAGATCCTCAGTAAATATTTATTGAATGAATAAACCCACATCATCATGTGGTAAGAGCGTTGGGGAGATAAATAAGATACAGTCCCTATTTCTGGGAGCAGACACAAACACACAGAGCATGATTTAGCAATATAAGGAATGTCACGTGGCCATGCACAATTATCCTTTTCACCGAAGCCAGAGACATAAAAAGGAGGGGTTCCTCCTTGTAATTTGTGTGACCAAAAGAAATGGTTTCTTTATAATGAGTAGTAAAGGACTTAAGGAAAGGTGTACAGGTCTAAATATAGAAATAGACTCCAGTGGATCTAGAAATATTCACAAATATGAGAGTTCCTAGGGTTATTACATAGATTTATTATAGATCTATGACCGATGTACACAGCTCAGTATACACTCTCAAATGCCTGCAGCCTACACAATGGGGATGAGGGCCAGGTTCTCCTCCAAATCAGATTTTTTATGGAACTGTCACTGTGCAGGGAGGAGGATGCATGGGTGAACTAAGAGGGTTTGTGCTCACTGCCCTTGCTAACCAGTGAGATGATTTCCCTGGAGAAACAATGATAAGAATCAATCTTTTCATAGTAAATAGAATAGTAAGTTAAGGCAAAACCCCATTCGATGCATGCACACTAATTGGATGCTAACGCACACCGAAGTTGATTATTATTTTTGTGATTGACAAATTGCATTTTGGGCTTTGCAGAGACCAAATGTAGTGATACTGGAGAGTGGGTTTGATGCTCTCTGCACTTAGAAGTCACTCTGTTTCTGAGTCCCAGCAGGAGGAAAGGCTACGGTGTTAAAGATATGATAGTGTCCAGGTGTGTGTGTGCCTCGTGGGCCTACGCCTTTTAAATCAGGGATTTATTTCAGGGTTTAGGCAAATCTATGTCAGAACCTCTGGTTCTCCATCTGAAAATTGCAATAATCAAACGTGGCAAAAATACTAGTGACAAATAAATACAAATTGCTAAGGGAATGAATGACACTGTTTCCTCACCATCTGGCTCCTGGCTCTCACTGGTTTCTGGTGCAGTGGAAGGGTTTTCTGCTCCTAAGTTACATACAAAGTGAAATGATTTCAAAACCCAGAACACCGGCAGGTGCAATGACCACTTTCTCCTAAAGTTTTCAGTTTTCTGCTTCTTTCCCTTTTCCTTTCCTCTCTCTTCCTCTCTCCTTTTATTTGCCCTCTTTATTAAAAATGTCTCAATTTTCAGGTGGACAATAGTCACAAAAGGCTCACACATGTTCCCAGACATTTGATATACATCTTTGATTGTGATGTACAAACATACTAAATATGCCCATATACACAAAATTATTAAAATATTTATATAAGTCTACAAGATAGATTGGACAAAAGTATCTATACACAGATACGATGATTATTAGTAGGCAGGATATAAAAATGTCAATCCAATACATTCCTGTGCCAAGTATTTTAACAATTCTCTGAGTGACATTCAGTGCGTCTGGTAATATTTCCCCTGTTTTTACCAAGCTCATAATGATTCAAAAGGAATAGCATGATAAGTGACCAAAGCATAAACATTATGAGATTCCTGGATATGATTTCTTCAGCAATCTACAGATTTTATAGAATTATTCATCGAAGCCACATCCTAACGGTTACCCTACAGGTACCTATCCATGACACTTTGTAATTCTAACATTCTCAGCACCATGGTTCCACCGTCCTAGCTTGAATAACTCCTCAGCGATAAAGTTTTCATTCAGTTTAACCGGAGCTTAAGCTTACCTGAGGGAGTGACACCCAGGACGGCGAGCACCAGGATGCAACCTGCCGGCGTCATGATGTCATGTTAGAAGGAAAATTTCTTCCTTTTCAATCACACAGCGTTTCCACCGGGAGAGGGGGTGTTGGAAGGGGCGTGCAGTGGTCCTGAGCCTGACCCAAGGGGAGCGCAGACACCTGAAGTGGGAGACAGCAGCCTCTGTCCATCTCACATCAGGGTAACGTTCCTGAAGCACACTTCATTGATTTCCCGTCAGCTGTCAGGTCCTGCGAGGCTACAACGGATCTCTGGGTCCTAACTCCTGACTTATTAATTTACTCTCCTGCAAAGAGACGCAGGGCAGTGGAGAAAGGATGGGGCGAGACCACTTCTGAATAGTCTGCTGGAGATCTGTGTAAAGGAGAAACGCTGCATTTGATAACCTGTGTCCTGGGAGCTGGTGAAAAGTTTCTCCTGTGTGCTATTCCCCTGTTGTCTCGGAGCTTAAGAATAGGAATGAATCCGAGGGGGTCAAAGGCACAGAGTTCCTGTTGTCAAACAAGTCCTGGGGATGCCAAGCCCAGCGTGGTGGCCGTGGCTAGCAAATACTGTACTGCACACTCGAAAGTTGCTCACAGAGCAAATCCTCAAAGTTCTCGTCACAAGGGGAAAAGTTTGTGACTGCGCTGATGGATGTTCACTAGACTAATTGTGGCGATCATTTTGCAATATATACAAGTATCAAATCGTTATGTTGTACACCCCAAACTAAGGTTAAAAACAAAATTCAGCCCTAACCAGTTTGGCTCAGTGGATAGAGCGTCGGCCTGCGGACTCAAGGGGCCCAGGTTCGATTCCGGTCAAGGGCATGTACCTTGGTTGCAGGCACATCCTCAGTAGGGGGTGTGCAGGAGGCAACTGACCGATGTTTCTCTCTCATCGATGTTTCTAACTCTCTATCCCTCTCCCTTCCTCTCTGTAAAAAAATCAATAAAATATTTTTTAAAAATAAAATTCAATTGAGCACATTTTAAAGATCTTATTGGCTTTATTCAATGATTCAAAAATCAGGCAGCATCTAACGTGGCACAGAGAGGAGCTCCGAGACGCGGTATGAAATGAAATGCTCTTAAAGGCAGAGGGAGCCGGCACATGGACGCGGTGCTAGCAGAAGTGATGTGACAAGGTCACCTTCATTTAGGCGATGGCAGGGCTTTCTCAGGCAGGTTACTTAACAAGTGCCAATCAGGGGGCTCCGGATGGATGAGTTTAATATTCCGTTTCTGGGGAGCTGACACTGTAATTAAGTTAATCTCCATTTGGGGCTTAGCATAAGTGACTCCATTTTGGGCCCGTTGTCTTGTTTGTTTAACACTAATATAATGTTGTATGTCAATTCTGTCTCAGTTAAAAAATAATGAGTGTGTGCTTTTGCTCCCTTGTTTCATGGTTTCAAGCATCTTCGTGTCAAAGCATCCTCTGTGGCCCCCATCCTACGGGGTCCGGCTTCCCCTTCCTGCGGGAGACAGTGCAGGGAGTTCAGTCTTGTTTTGTTTCCCTTAGGGGACTTGGGGACTGCTGAGGCCACTTTTACTCTATGGATGTCTACATGTATGTATGTGTTTGCTTTTAATGCCACTTTTAATTTTATCCGCCCTCTTCACAGTTGATCTGATTCTCGTCCAGTTCAGTGCTGTCTGTACCCAGAAGACCCCTAATCAATGCAAATCTAATGAATGAGCGACTGAAAGCAAGGGCCAGACAGAGGAGAGGCCCGGGTGGGAGCAGTCGCCCGGATGGAGACTGAAGGTGGGAGCAACGTACTCCCGGGCTCTGATGAACTCCACTTTAGTCACACTGCTTCAACCCAGGTTTACAATGTCTCCATGATCTCTCATCAAGCCCCCACTCTGTGCCATTAGCACCTTCCAAACACCAGGTGATGCTCAGTCAGGTACCAACAGGTAATGACAATGGCCTGGACTAGGAGGCAGGACTCTGTCCCCTGCTTGTGCCGACCTCTCCACCCTCCTGTCCCAGAGAACCTGGTACAGCACCTGGCTGCTGGCCTGCCTGTCTCCCTTATGGACCAGGGGCTCCCGAGGCCAGGGCTGCGTCCTCTCATCTCTGTATCCCTATATCACATACAAATGCTAAGGTGGCTGTTTGAATGAAAGGAGGAGGGAAACAATCAGACATTTATTTCCCATCCATCTGAATTGTGTTCCAGGCCTGCTGGGAATTTACAACCCGTCTCAGGAATAAATTAGTCACTAACACAGGGGTGCAGGAAGTATCACCTTCACTTGCAATAAGTCAATTAAAATCAAGCTTGCCATTCCACTGAGCTGGCAGGAAATCCAGTCTCAGTCATTACAGGAGCTCCATCCCCTTGCCTAAGATAGAAAAAAACACACCAAACCGTGGGAAGGCTTTTGTGGCCCCTCAAATACAAGGTAGGCCTCCAGTCCATCTTGACCACAGCGCTGGGTCAGGGGCCACCCTACAGGGACCCTTGAAGTGCAGTTTTGCTCCCCTTTGCCTGGTCAAATGCCTCACACTCTGCCAGGAGTGGGAGTCTGGTGATAGGATCCCTCTCTCTGAGCCTCATGCAGCTGCTGTCTCTGGAGGAGGCCACCTCCAAAGGGTGAGCCTGGCTGCTGAAGGAGTCAGCCAGCCCTGGGAATTCCTTGCCTATCTCTCTTTACAGCCACAAAACAGAGGATTAGCCCTGGCTGGGTGGCTCAGTTGATTGGAGTGTTGTCCTGTACACCAAGAGGTTGCGAGTTCAATTCCCAGTTAGGGCACACACCTAGATTGCGGTTCAATCCTGGTCAGGGCAAGTATGGGAGGCAACTAATCTCTCTCTCTCTCTCTCTCTCTCTCTCTCTCTCTCTCTCTCTCTCTCTCTCATCAATAAAAACATATCCTCTGGTGAGGATTAAAAAAATGAAGAAATAAGAGAATCAAGTTGATTCCCCAGGTCCCTTCCAATACTGAACGATACAACCTCTGTGTGTGACAGAATCAAGATTCAGAATAATCTCGAAAGGCTGGAATGTTAGTCCCATACTCAGAAGACAGAATAGCTTAAAGTGAGCATATTTGTGCAACTTGGAACAAAATATATCTTTCTTATTTATGATCTTATTTCTGAGCAAACAAAATTAGAAAAACTAAATCATATATTGGGGTATCCACTTAACTAATTGCCTTTATTGCAAAAAAACCCAAAAAACAAAATCTCTACTTTGAGTATCCTGGTCACCATAAGAATGGCATGGAGAGCAGCCGCTCCGCGCTGCCAGAGCCGCCGGGAACACCGTCCTCGTTTAAGGCAACACGCTTGAAGGAAGTTGAAGATGCTCATTCAGAGGGAGTCAGGAAACCCAGGGTCTAGGAAGGAGGCTTTTTATGAGAAATGATTAAAGAGCACGGAGTTTGGATTAGAAAAAAGAAGTTTTAGGGACTTTGCCTATTTGCTATGAAATGTTTGCATGTGACAACCCCTCCACATCAACACCATTTCATTTCATTTTATTTAAAAAAAAATCATTATTATTGAAAGTATAACATGTCCCCCGTCCCCCCCTTGACCCCTTCTAGCCCGCCTCCGCTCCCTGCCACAGGCCTTCACCACCCTATCGTCTGTGTCCATGGGTTATGCATGTATATACGTTCTTTGGTTGATCACTTCCTACCCACCCATCCTCCCCTGTCTTCCCTCTGAGGTTCTGCTGTCTGCGATATGCATCCATGTCTCTGGGTCTATTTTGTTCCTCAGTTTATTTTGTTCATTAGATTCCACATATGAGTGAGGTCATGTGATACTTTCAACACCATTTTACAAGCGAGGAAACTGAACACAGGGAGGTGGAGTCACTGTCCGATGTCACACAGCTTCACGACAGAATCAGGGCCTGAGTCATGTGCCATGCTCTTAGTAAGTTGCCCCGTTAGCCAGAGTGTATTTATTCATAGGAAAATGCTAGTGAAGAGAACACACGCCCTGCCTTCTGAAGGCTCATCAACTCCATCTCTCCTCAGTCACCCATCAGGGATTTATGAATCCCTTCTCTGGGTCCTTCCGTATGTCTGACCTCGGTCATTCTTGCTGCAGCCTGTCTGCCTCCGTGTCCAGCCGGCACCACTAGAGTTTCAGATGCTCATATCTTCCTCTCCCCACCAGTGGGTATGTTTTGTGGGAGGAATCAGTGTTCATAGGAGTCAGAGGTCTGGCATTTCAGTGCCCGAATTTGAAAGTCTTGCTGCCCTCCAAAATCATCTCCTACCCTTTGATGGCTAACATTTCACACTGAAGATGATTCTTAATTTGGTTTAAAAGTTATTTTAATCAGTTAATTTAAATTAATTGTAATGAATTCATTCTTTAATCTGATTTAAAACTTATTAATTCCAAAGACCCTGGGAGAGGGAGCACTTTAATCCAAAGTCTCCCGATCCTTTTCCTTCCTCTGCATTGTTCACACGGATGACATCCTCCCAAGAGTCACGTTTCTCATTATCCGTGGAGAGATGGCAATCATGGCTTAACAAGTGTCAAAGTCTCTCCTGAGACCCAACCAGGAAAGCCCAGGGACTTCTGGGAGTGCTTTGCAGTTTCCCCAGATTTGACATGAACAGAGACAAGACCTGTGATGCTGAAGGTGCAGTGCTAGACTTGGGAGCCCCCTGGTGGATCAGTGATCATACTGCAGGCTTAATGCTGATGGGCTCCTTTTCAAAGGATATATGCTTTATTTTTATGTAGTCCCATTTGTTTATTTTCTCCTTTGTTTACCTTGCCCTAGGAGATGTATTGGCAAACACATTGCTGCGAGAGGTGTCTGAGATTTCGCTGCCTAGGGTTTCTTCTAGGATTTTTTTTTTTTTTATGGTTTCAGGACTTATATTTAAGTCTTTTATCCATTTGAGTTTGTTCTTGTGTATGGTGTAAGTTGGTCTAGTTTCATTTTTTTAAATGTTTTCTGCACAGCAAAAGAAACCATGGCCCTAACCGGTTTGGCTCAGTGGATAGAGCGTCGGCCTGCGGATTCAAAGGTCCCAGGTTCGATTCCGGTCAAGGGCATGTACCTTGGCTGTGGGCACATCCCCAGTGGGGAGTGTGCAGGAGGCAGCTGACCGATGTT